GCCGACTCCTGCTGCGACTGCCCGCCCTGAGAGCCGTTCCTGCCAACCTCATCTCTCAACTCTTCTTCATGCGGCTGGTTGGCAAGACGCCAATCGAGACGCTTATCCGGGACATGCAGCTCTCTGGAAGCTCCATCAGCTGGCCGTACGTGCCTGGACAGTAGATGAACAATCAGAGGACTTGCTCCCTTGTCCCATCTCAGGCTGCTCCCATACTTCCACAGTAACCGCGTGGATAGATATTGTGTTTTGGGTTTTGTTGATCGTGTATATATATATACTGTATGTCTAAAAGAGGTTGACACGTATGTTCCTATGCAGTTTAAATGAGCCATCCAGTACCAGGATACCTCATGTTTCACATCATGACCATCAATTCTGTCAAAAACATTTGACGAGATGAATTAACAGATCCAAAGCTTTAAAGAAGAGTTTATTATACCTTCTTTTTCAGAGCATATTGAACTATTTTAAAGCTAGTGTAGATGTACATTAAGAATCTTTATAACAGACTGCATCCGTGAGTCAAACATGTTGGGATGTGTCCTTGAAAAATCAATGGTGAACAGTAAATGGCTCTGTTTAGAATGGAATACTAGCATACTGCACATTACTGTATACTGCTTTATATAGAATAGTATGTGAAACAGTATGAAATATGCAACATTACATGTCCCAAACAGTACTATGCTACATTGTTGTCACATGACCTCATTATATTGCATGTTTATCATGTAAATATGGTACACTGCATTGTGGGATACAGTATTCTGTGCAGTATGCTTTGGTTGTATACTGCATATTTTGGCAAATGGCCATGCAGGTATTACACACTATGCACGGAATACAAACTATATACTAAAAACAAAACAAAACATCAAGAGTGGTATGGTAGTATGCTATTCTGAACATAGCCCATGTCTTTGATTGTCCTATTTAAACAGTTCAAGTGAATTTTTCAGTGGGGTGGAGAAATGGTATAAAGTTTTACATTGCTGACAGTGGGAAATATCAAGTATTTTTGCATACTAAAAATAAAAGTGAATGATAAACAAAGAAGCTCTTATGTAACAAGATTGTTTATGAAAAAGCTTCCATTTTCAGCGGTGTATTGAGTAAAATAAATAAACTGCGAACAAGAGTTATTTTTTCAGAATTTTATGATCATTGTATTTCCATGATTTAAAAAAAACTGCAGGCAGCTGTGCATTTGCTACTAATCAATAGTACATACAAATCAAATACTATGAACATAAAAGCATACCCTTGAGAAAAAGTACACAGGATAGTACATAAAAAAAGGAGTACTCATTATGGAAATAATATAATTTAGTAGAAAAGGAAAACACTTAAGTGCAAACTGATTGCATGTTACTTAAAAAAATGTTACTTGCAATGAAGTGTGTAAAAAAAAGTCATGAAAATTACCTCTTTTAAGTACACTTAAGTTGCCTTTTATTTCCATAATAATATATGACCTGAAAGTATTTAAAAATAAAATATATTCCGACATTTATAATATAAAATATTTTATAAATGAGATTTTTTGGGACAATTCGTAGAGTCAATGACAAATAAAAATGCCCAAGAAAAAAAAAAGCTAGTTCCCGTAGAAGAAATGATCTAGTCATGTTACACTGACTTTGATTCGACATTCAAATGTTTTTTTCAAATATTAATCATTAAACTTTTTCTTCATTATGATCACACTACCTCGAAGTGTTTTACTATCTCTCAAAAATATCCAAGTTAATTTTAATTCATAAATTTAAATGACCATATCACTTAATCATATCACTTCATGATGATCATATCAGTTACCTACACACTCGCTCATTCTGCATGTTTCCGCACTGAAAAAAATGGGTGTAGAATTCAGAAATTGCTAGTAATTTTCAAGTAAATGCTAGTAAATTAATAACAAAGAAACAGCAAATAACACCTTAAATTAAATATGAAAATTTGAAGTAGAAAGACTGAAATAGTATTTTCTTGTAAAATATACTCCAAAACTTTACAACTTTGAAAAATCTATATTTTGCAGGGCAAAAAAATGTTTTGACTGTTACATACATATGCTGTGTCTGAAATCGTATACTTCGCTAATATATCTCGTATGTGAAAAACAGTATGTGAGGCGAGTAGTATGTCCGAATTCATAGTATTCAAACGCCTCACATAGACACGATGTAAATAAGGTATTATACTGTATGTGCAGTTTGCTTCATTGATTATAACGGAACATTGTGAGATTGTGATAAATTGAAGTGAGTGACAGCTTTTTAGTGATTATATGGAAGCGCTATTTGCTCGCTTTCTTGGCTATAATCAGTTCAGAATTTGAATAAAAGTTTTGTTTTACTTGCATGCTAACAGGACCAAAGACCACATCCTGCACATGCAGCAAAGTTTCAGGAGTGACATATCCCGCATGCCTCATATAAATGCGGGATTCTAGCTTATTTGCAATCAGGGTTAGTTCCTTAGCCTATATCCACCACCTCGATGGCAGGCAAGTATTTCAATTTAGTTGAAAAATCGCTCCTCTTCATAACATAAGGGTCACGTCCAACATATGTTGTGATTTTCTCTTTATACCTTTCTCTTGTAATAGTGTCTAAACCAGTACAGTACAGACTTTCCTTCATCTCATCCATTCTGCTTTTCACTTCCTGTTCTCATCTGAATTTTGCGCGTCATCAGAATCACGTGATTGCAAACAATTTTGATGCCTGCTGATTGCAGTACGACAAGCGTTAAAATGAGGTAAATACTAATCATATAGTCATATTTAAAAATTAACACATTAATATATTGTATACTGTCAGTCAATCATGACGACACACTCCCATTTTTATGGCATCAAATAAGTAACTAAAACCAAACTTATAAAAAAACAAAGAAAACAAAAAACAAACACTTGACAAAAAATAAAATGACAAAAACCATCTTTGGCAAAAACTTATTTGAAATGTAACTCTTTAATTTGTCTCACACCCCATTAGATTACATGGAGAGGGTGTGCCACCTGGGGCCGATCGAAACGTTTTGGCTTCACTTTTCAGGACTTGTCTGGCACACTTTCCCTGCGACCCAATGTTCATACTATCCATCCTAAATAGTATGTGAGATTAGAATAAGTGTATCCCAAAGCATAGTATGTTGAAAAGAGTATGCCAAAAGTCCCCGGATGGTCTACTATTTCGGGAAGATTTTTTTAAGTGGATTCGTACACACTCTAATGGCTAATATTGCCCACAATCCATTGCGCTTTGACTAATGATTCGGTTCACAACTACAAACACGAATAAAAAGCGTTAAAAACTACAAACATGGCGGATGTGCAACACCGACGGAGAGCTTTAGACAAAGGGATTTGAGTTACTAATAATCAATATTTAACTTGGAAAAATATCTATTTAATGTTATCTGTGTTATATTTCATCTGCAACAACAATGTGAACTTTTATAAACATCCGTTTGGCTTTTAACTTGTAAATGCATCATAAGGTTATGCAAAAAAATATGAGCAGAGTTCTCCGAAAAAGACCCACGGCTGGCAGACCATCGTGTTACTTTTCTCTCCAATCCGATAGGAAGTTAAATTAAATTAAATGTGGAGGATGTTAACTGTGACAAAATGATTGACAGGCCAGTTTACAGTGACAGGGTGCGGTGTAACCGTCCCAAAGCTTGCCTACTCTTCTACTACACACTCAAAAGTGTGCCCTTTTTCTTCACCAAAAGAGTACATACTTTAAAGGGGTCATATGACGTTGCTAAAAATAACATTATGTTGTGTATTTGGTGTAATGCAATGTGCTTATGCGGTTTAAGGTAAAAAAACACACATTATTTTCCACATACTGTACATTATTGTTTCTCCTCTATGCCCCGCCTTTCTGAAACGCGTAGATTTTTACAAAACTCATCGTCCTGAAAAGCGAGGTGTTTTGTGATTGGCCAGCTATCCAGTGCGTTGTGATTGGCTGAATGCCTCAAGCATGTGACGGAAAAGTTACGCCCCTCACATACTGTTGATGCCATGTCCGGCCGGAGCAACGAGACAAAAACATTAAAACCCATTATAAACGAGGCATTTGTTGCATACAGTGGGACATAATTACTGATTATGTCGTTTTACGCGTTGCGTTGCGTATCGCGCTGCGTAAACATAAAACCATGTCTGCATTTGTGATCGGAGAAACAACAAGCCTACTCTACACTGCTCAAAACTCGCGTTTGAATTGTCAGTGGCAAATTCTTTAAATATAAAAAAGTACTTACAGGCTGTGAGTCAGAAGCGCCAATCTGTCTTTGCAAAGTTGGAACTGCCTCACTTTATAGAAACAGCCTTTGTGCACAGACGCGTTGCAGGCTACTGGTTCAGGAAACAGTTCTCATCCTCCATAAAATGCGCTGGACACATCTGAATATTTGGGTTGAACTGTTCTGGAACAGTGTTCTAAATACAACTTAACCACTGATTTCTAGTCGTGTCCTCTTTTGGAAGACCAAACAAAGTAGTTTCACTTTCGCAACGAAACACACAGCGCCTCCACAACATGGCAGCGGCGGCAACAGCAAGAATTAAAGTTACGCCTTCTTTCGATGCGTGAACATTTGGGCGGCGTTATGCAAATCTTCCCACATAGTGACGTAGATAAGTGGGGGCGTGTTAGAACGAGGTGTTTTAGGTAGGCGTGGCTGACTCTTAACTTTTATAAAGAATATCTCTTTGGATTTGAGACTTTAGTCTTTGCAACTTTACAGATCTTCTTTATGCACCAAGAGCTTGTAACACTCCAAAGAGAAAGGAAAAATTGAAATCGCATCACATGACCCCTTTAAGGGCGTAAAATATAAGTAGTAGGTACATTGGGACGCAGCATTGGTCACATATGAATTATGATCAAAACGCGCCATCTGCTGGTGAGTCCGTGCTGCTACTTGTTTAAATGGTACTGCAATCACGGTTTTACTCGAATATATACCCATAAATAAGTCGCATCAACAACTACACGTGCTCAACTGATAAATATGGTTAAGTAAATGGACGAACAATATGAGAGAAGTGTAATGTGGACTTGAGGGCAAGGTTTGTGTAGCGCAGCCCAGCCCCAACATGACACACAGCCAGAGAGGAGGAACCAAACACACTCACTCCAGTTATCATCAGTGCAAATTACTCAACTAAACACCCAAGAGCCCCAACAGGGAATAACCGTTTATAACAAACAGAAAATGTCGTTCATCCCCGGTCATCCTGTCACAGCAGTTGTGGTGAGTTTGCGCTCGGTATGAGAAAGTTGTTGCTCTAGCATCAGTGTCTTCAGCTTTGTGTGCGGAGCTTTAGTGTTTAGTGTTCATTTAATATCGTTTGACTGGGAAGGCGATCAATTTAAACATGATTATTGTTCCCAATACTAATCTATGTCATGACAGGACAGTTTGGTTAAGTTTGAGTTTAAGTTAACAGTCGATATAATGGAAAGGGTTAGCACGCTAAGCTAACGTTAGCCAGGAGTGAACAAAGTGACCAATAGTTAATTATTTATTTACTGTTCTATTTATTTATTAGATTATAAATAAGTAATATGTGGCAAAATTACCAGTCATTTTTGGGATCCAATTAATATTAAATGTTAAAAAATTTATTATTCTTTTGCATTATATTCAATCTGTTCTGATGTCGCTCAGGTGTGAAGTAAGTAGGTGTGGTTCATGTTGCTGTTCAGGTAGTGCTGCCATATATGGTCATAAACCGTGTTGGGGTAACGCATTACAAGTAACGCGAGTTACGTAATCAGATTACTTTTTTCAAGTAACTAGTAAAGTAACGCATTACTTTTTAATTTACAAGAAAATATCTGAGTTACTTTTTTCAAATAAGTAACGCAAGTTACTTTTTTTCCAATTTATTGACTGACAGCTCTCCTGTGCCCATGTTGAGAGAAATCAGATGTTACTGTAGTTCTACAATAAATATGAATATGCATTCATTCATCACACTTGCACACACACAAAAAAAAACACAGATTCAGTGTCAAAAACCGATAAAAAAAATAATGCAACTCAGAATATGACGCAAACCTGCAATAATTAAATATTAAACAACACAAATATGCTTTATGTATTTAATCCCATTCTATTAACCAATGTCTTTGCTTCTGACCTT